ACGGTTATTGTAATGTCTATCTGGGCGCACTAGAAGCGTGCTTTACAGTGAATGTAATGATTATCTGAATGCACTAGAGACGTGCCTCACGCTGATTGTAAAGATGATCTGAGCGCACTAGAAGCGTGATTCATTGAGTGAATGTAATGACAATCTGAACGCATTAGAGATGTGCTTCACGAGGTGAATGTAAGTACGATCTGAACGCACTAGAGGCATTTTTCAAAATGAATGTAATGATTATCTGAGTGTACTAGAGGTGTTATTCACGGAATGATTGTAATGACTATCTGAGCGCACTAGAACTGTGCTGTAAGGGGTGATTGTAATGACGGCCTGAATGCACTAGGGGCGTGCTTCATGGTGAATGTAATTACTATCTGAACGCACTAGGGGCGTGCTTCAAGGGGTGAATGTAATGACTATCTGAGCACTCTAGAGGCGTGCTTCACGGGGTGATTGTAATGACGATCTGAATGAACTAGAGGCGTCCCTCACGGGATGAATGTAATGACGATCTGAATGAACTAGAGGCATGCCCGACTGGGTGAATGTAATGATGATCTGAACGCACTAGAGGCGTTCTTCACGGTGAATATAATGACTATCTGAGCGCACTAGAGGCGTTCTTCACGGGATGAAGGTAATATATAACGATCTGAATGCACTAGAGGCATGTTTCACGGGAATAATTTTATAACGATCTGAATGCACTAGAGGCGTGTTTCACGGGGTGAATATAATGACGATCTTAACGCACTAGAGGCGTGCTTCACGGGATGAATGTAATGACTATTTGAGCGCTCTAGAGGCGTGCCTCACGGTGTGAATGTTATGACGATCTGAACGCACTAGAGGCTTGCGTCACGGGCTGACTGTAATAACGATCTGAACGTACTAGAGGTGTGCTTCACGGGGGTGACTGTAATGACTCTCTGAGCGCACTAGAGGCGTGATTTACGTTATGATTGTAATGACGATCTGAACGCACTTGAGGCGTGCTTCACGGGGTGACTGTTATGACTATCTGAGCGCACTAAAGGCGTGATTTACGGAGTGAATGTACTGACGATCTGAACACACTAGAGGCGTGCTTCAAGGGATGAATGTAATGCCTTTCTGAGCGCAATAGAGGTGTGCTTCACGGTGATTGTTATGACGATCCGAATAAACTAGAGGCGTGCTTTACGGGGTGAATGTAACGCACTAGAGGCGTGCTTCACAGTGAATGTAATGACTATGTCAGCGCACTAGTGGCGTGCTTCAAGGGGTGATTGTAATGACTATCTGAACGCACTAGACGCGTGCCTCTCGGTGATTCTCATGAACATCTGAACGCACTAGAGGCGTGATTCACGGGATGAATGTAATGACGATCTGAACGCACTAGAGGTGTGCTTCTTCACGGGGTGAATGTAATGACTTTCTGAACGCACTAGAGGCGTTCTTCTTGGTGAATGTAATTACTATCTGAACGCACCAGAGGCGTGCTTTAAGGGGTGAATGTAATGACTATCTGAGCGAACTAGAGGCGTGCTTCACGGGATGAATGTAATGACTATCTAAACGCACCAGAGGCGTGCTTCACGGTTATTGTAATGTCAATCTGGGCGCACTAGATGCGTGCTTCTCGGGGTGAATGTAATGATTATCTGAACGCACTAGAGGCGTTCCACGGTGATTGTAATGACTATCTGGGCGCACTAGAAGCGTGCCTCACGGGGTGAATTTAATGACGATCTGAACGCACTAGAGGCGTGCTTCACGGTGATTGTAATTACTATCTGAACGCACTAGAGGCGTGTTTCACGGGGTGAATGTAATGACGATCTGAGCGCACTAGAGGCGTGCTTCACGCAGATTGCAATGACTATACGAACGCACTATAGGCGTGCTTCACACTGATTGTAATGACGATCTGAACGCAGTAGAGGCGTGCTTCACGATTATTTTAATGACGATCTGAATGAACGAGAGGCGTGATGACCACGTGACCAGCATGTTTTAAACTGTCTGCGGACCGAAGTGAGTCAAATTTCCCTTCTGCCCTTTGAACATCTATATATTTACACACCTCCTCTATTGTTTGTGACAGGTCTATATTTTTCGGATAGACCTGTTTAAGCAAAAGAAAGTCCGTTATAAGGTCTATCTTTTGCACGTGCACAGGTCTGTTCTTGTCAGACAGACCCGGTCATAAAATACACGTGCATAAATAGACCTGCCAATCCGCAGACAAAGAAAACATGAAATGCAATCAAAAATTAAAAATTGAAATAAAATGTAAATGATTGCCATAATGTTCCTGTGTTACAAAATCGGGATACATTATTTAAATAATATCGATAATGTTTAATGAATGCACTGGGACGAAGAGTTTTTACTGCAATAGTAATCTAAGTGGTTCTTCTGTCATTAAGTTCACAATATAACAAAATGAATACTTCAAGTTCATATCTAGGAAACTATAGAAGTAATCACATCATACTTATCACGATTTTAAAATGTTAATAAAGTTATTAGTGATTTAGTATAAAAATATGATGAACGATCATATTTTATTCTAGAACACTTTATAATGTGCTATATACAATATGGTTTCGGTTCATGTATCTCACACTTGCCAACAATATACATATGTAAGTCTTTCGCGGTCTGCTGGGTATTCGGACATTGCCCTTCGGACAGTTGTCCCCTCGGAAGTTTGTCCCCTTTTTGCAGTGGCAAATTTGCCCCCTTATATCATTGGAAGGGGCGGACATTTGTCCCCTCCCCTTCCTGTTTGAAAAATGTAAAATATTTTATTGTTGAATTGTTTGCTACCAAAATTCATCGCCTATTGTCGAAATTTCACTGTGCTTAAATACACAATTTTAAGCTCTTGCGCAAATTTGTGAAAGTCAAAGTAGCATCCATAACTAAATGAACTATAATGTTCCCATTGACATACAAAAAATATATACACGAAATGTCAAATGACAAGTGACAACAGCAAAAAAGGGGCAAAGACCCCGTGGGGGGGGGGGACGGTCCTAGAATTTGCATTGTCTGATACGAAGTACTATCAAAATAATTATTCATTCTTTAACATACCTTCCATAACAGACCTATTCACTTTATTATTGACAAATTGCACATTTAGCTTTTTTGGTTATTAATTTTAAAGGGAAAAGCAAACTTTTTAAGTTAAATGCAAAATGGATATTGTATTTAAGCAGAACGTTGTCAAAAGCTTACCTGTATATGCGTTGTGTTAAAAATAATATTTGTGCATTACAACAAATGCTTCGGATCAGGCATTTCTCAAGCCAATATAGTTGTTTGATATCGGCTTCGTACATCGCTCTTTCTGTTTAGGAAAGACCTGGCCACGAATTTCATGAAACACCCTGAGAGCGCGTATATATATTCTATATAACATTTCTTTTTATTTACCAACAAAGAATGAGAACGATTACATTAAAAAGAAAAGATAGATAATAATATAAACATCTGACACTGATGTACAATTATATACGACATAATATTTCAAACCTTTACAGCATCGGTGGCACAGAGGTGACTTGTGTGTGTTTTTATTTATCTCGTGCGCACGAGATACTATGTCGTGGCAACAAATTACTAAGTCGAGGTCACGAGATAATTAAGTGATGCGCACGAGATACTATGTCGTGGCTACAAGATACGAAGTTATGACCACGAGATAATTAATTGCGGACGAGATACTATATATCGTGGCTACGAGTTACTAAGTAGGGCCACAAGATAATTAAGTCGTGCGCACGAGATACTATGTCGTAGCCACGAGTTCCTAATTTGTTTTGTTGATTATTTACATCGTGCTTCTTTAACCGAGCCCAAAACATGATTATTCTTACATTTATATTTATATCACTAGATAGCAGGCAGCCTGTTTCTCCGTATACCATATAATTTGGGATGGATCGTTTCATATTTAAAGTATACTTTAGAAATTTTAATTGGACTCGTTCAATTACAATATCCCCATAGTTCCGCCCCATATAAAAGAATAGGTTTCATTTTTTATTTTATTCAAAAGATCTAATTGGATATCAATAAGTAAACTGAGTCGATTATTGTCGGACCAAGTTACCGTGTTGCGGTATAATTAAAAGGATCGGAGTGCAACTAGTAACATAACAGATTTAAACCGACGACTGCAGAGTGCATTTAACTGATGAGAACGATGTTACCGGGCAAGATGTACGAATCACTAACGGTATATTAACTAATCTAGATTGCGTTGTAGTTGTTTCCAGCGAAATTTACTCCCCTCAAATCGTCCCCGACGAACAAGACATGATCACAAACCATTATAGAATGAACAACAGAACGATTTAGTTATGAAATACAGTTTAATATGTTGCAAGCGACTTTGGTATAGCTGACTGTACATGAAATGAACCAACAAATATGTTTTCAAATAAACCCTCATTTACAACTCCTAGCATTTACTTACTACTCGTTTACATGTGTAGGTTAGACCGAATTGCCGAAAGGGCCGAACAATTGCCACAGAGTTGGTAGTTTGAAATGTAAAAGATCCTGGAAAATTGTTGTTAATGGTAGTTAATGGTCAGCTAGTGATGCGCCAGTCAAATCGAGCGTATATAAACTGGTTTTTTTTTTACAAGCCGATGGTTTTTACGTAAGTTCCGTCTTTTTTAACGCTGCTCATGATGTGATTTCTTTAGTTGTATTTTGTACCATCTTGTATGTCATACATGACAGAGTAATTACCTATAGTTTGGTTATCCATCAATTACCGGATGTCAACATTGACTGGTACCAGCGTTTAAAACTGTTGGTACGAATGTAGATACATTACGTTGGTAAACTTTCAACAATGATTTCAAATTTGACCCTCAAAATGATGCAACTGCTAATTGATATAATGATGTTTGATAAGATTAGCCTATCACGCTCACATCAAAACAAATCGTAAGCTTTGCATTCACCTTGTACAGGCTTCAGTACAGTGATTCAATTTTATATGGGCTAGTGATCCGTTATTCGATACTGATCGTCACGTTGTTCATATCACATGTTAAAGATATATTATAGCAACATTAATTGATAAATTGCCGAGTTTACTAAAAAAATTAACAGATTATATTCGATGTTTCTCGGATTTTATCTATGGATACAAGGTAATTGTTTTTTTTATTAAGATCTGCTCATTTGGCATAAATTGATTATTAACCAGGAGCGTATCAGTTAAAAGGGTGTGCGCTTATAGCATAACTACGGTGCCTTTTTCGTGCTACTTAAATCGACGTCTGACGTGTTTAAGGGTACGGATGATGTCAAGTAATAAAGCTATTTCATGTTTTTCTCTAATAAAGGAAGTTTATTTGCTGGGTTGCGTGTCATGGAAAGTCCTTAGCCTAAACTCAGTCTTAAGACCAAAACTGTTTCATAGAAATGTCCTAACTTATGACTCCCATGTCTGTAATCTATATACATGTATGTTAATACTTGTTTTATTTCTAAATAGCCATATAGAAAAGCATGAACAAATTGTGGGTTGAAACATGTGCCATTATTATTCTTAACTTCTCTAAGGAGAGTGAAATTAATTACAGTCCAAGTCTTTGATTAAAGATAAAATATTTATTGAAATGGTCTGAATTTAATTAGTGTTATGGTTAATCGTAAGTCCTATAGTTTAAGATACACGTAAGACTTTCTATGAAACACAGCCTCATTCGTTGTAAAGATTCTTGACAGGTTATATGGTCGTATATAAACTACTGTTTGCAATATAACCCTCACCTTGAGCGGCTCGGGCTTTATATTCAAATATACAAACAACCATTCATATAGGGTCATATAACCTTTGTTATTTTCTTAAAAACTAAAATACAATTATGCTTTTACAACTATTAAATCACAGAAACTAGAACTTTAATTTCATTAATGCTTGAAGTTCAGTTTTGGAAGTAAACACGCCTTCCCTAATCAAAATATTAAATATAAAATTAATATATGGATGGGGTAGTTTAGGCCCATTATTCCCCAGAAATGCTTTTAATTTTATTTCTCAAACCCATTTATTTTTGGTGTACCTTTATAATTTCCAAAATGTTAGTCAATTACCTGAACATTATTTCTCTTCTGTTGTATTTTGGCAAATATTACAGTTATAGTCGGTGAGTATTTTGAATGGAAATCAAAATCACAGGAGCTTGACATTCTAGAAATTATTGAAAAATAAGCAAATGATTAAGAAATAACGACAAATGCACCCCTCTATATACAATAAAATAAATTGGGTATATTTGCCATTATGCCTTGATTATTTGCTGATGTTTTTCATATAATCATAATGGCAAGCTCCTTTGGTCAAAATACATCTTTGTTTACATTTTGCTACCTTTTTGGCAAATTATTTCACATTAAGTGCTTATTTCTTCAGGTAATAAACATCTACCATGCTTTAAACCCATTTTTTAAACCTTATAAAATTCATGCTAGCAATTTCTAAAGAAATAAAAAAAAATGATTCATTTCTTCTGCATAATGTGGCTTTAAATATCACATTGTAGTACGTAGGCCTACAAGCGCATTATTGATTTATGATTTATCTATATTTCAAGTTTCTGTTCAGTTACCTATACTTAAATCTATATAATATGGAGAGAGTTTAACAACTGGTGCAATAAATGATAGTTTTCATCAAAGCATCTGGGCATAATTTACAGAACATTCATGCGCATAAATTAATTTTGTGATTGGGTCTACAAGCATATGTTTGGGTGCCATCAATTTGTATATAATAAAAGTACACTTGATTATTCATGTAAGATTATTATATATACAGTTTATGTATGTGCTTACCAGGAAGCCTCAAAAGCTTTTATACCTAACCACGTGCGTGTAAACGATTTATAGAATACATTAAATTTTGGCAACGGTCAATTGGCAAATTTAAATAGAAGTTTGCAACTGACGTGTTCCTTCGGGTTCTTTCATGCTGCGTTGAATGTTGATGCATGTATAATGTAGATGAGATAGATGAATGAATGAATGAATTAATTAATTAATTTATTAAAATGAATGAATGAATGAATGAATGAATAGTTTAGTAGGAGGTGGGTATGTTGTGGTTGGGATGGATGGATGGATAGATTGATGGATGTGGTTGGGGTGGAAATATATGATGGGATAGGTATGTCTATGTTCCCCAGGACATTTTTATATTTGTTTAGAGAGTGACAATATGCTCATTTTTCATTGTCAAGTTGAGCTGAATTGGCTATAAATAACAAAAGATTGACTGTTATAATGGTGATTGAGGAGAAGTTGACAGTTGAAAATGCTATGGATATAATGATTATCTACCTCAAATATTAAAAGACTGCCCATTGTTGTTACACGTTTATTTCAATGGATATTTAAAGAAACTTCCCTGGGCCATGTTAGTTATTTATCGTTCATGCGAATTATAATTATAAAATTGAAAGGAATTTTGGCAAAAAAAATGATAACTATTTTGACTATCACCTGTTCACACACCATATATTCTTTGATGGACATAATGACACCTTTATGCCTGTCCATCATACTGAATAAATTACATATAAACTCACCACCCAATTTAAGCAATTTCATTAATATATATTTTATATAATGTATCTACAGAAATCATTAATCATAATTAATATGACATAGCTACATGTTGACATATTAAAACTAGCTACATGTTGACATATTTTTCTTTTATTTCATTTTCAGTTACCTTTTTATTTTCTTCTTTAATTTTTTAACACGAATTTTATTTATATTATGATTGTGGTGTTCGATTGTGTTGGAGGGTATAAGCTTATTGGTACAGTCTCGAACTCGGTCCTGGCACCAGCCAGTAGTAAGCAGTGAGCTCAAAGAAGCAACTGTGTTTGACGGGGTTTAAACCCACGCGACCTCGCTACTGCTTAGATTTACTATTCATAATTTATTTATTTATACTGTATATGGAAATGACGAAGAAAATAGCAAATATTTGTCATTTGTCATTCATATTTTGCATCTAATTTGTTAATTATTATGAAAAAAATAAAAAAGCTTTTACCTGTTATCGCAATGGACCATGAAATATATATTTATGCCTTAAGGTTAAGATACACAAAAATGACCAGGTTTATTTTTTATAGACGTTTATTAATTGAATATTGGAAAGAGGTATAAATATAAGTATATAAGCAAAGCTCGTACGCTTTAATGATGGTCGTTCTGTAAAGGTCGTTCAGCACGACATTCTTTTTTTGTTTGTGGCATGTCTATTTCTGTTTTGCTTGTCGCGTGATTTCAGTATACATGTACCTATATATTTCACTTGGATATGCTGATTTTTAGATTTATTTTTGGATACACATGTCTTATTAACTTTATTTGCATTTTACTTAGTTCCTACTTTCGGGGACATTCTCTTTCTTTAGGTTATTAAATGTTAGGAAAGTGTCAGCACCATATGAACACATCTGTCGACATTTCTTCTAAATTCTTCATTTAAAAAGTTTCATGTTTAGATATTGAGTTGTTTATATGCCAAGATTATTCATGATCAGTCAAGCTCCTTTTTGTCTAACCGTTTATGTTATCATTTTGACCATTTAAGTTACGATCACGCGACAAACTTGAATACCATCTTGATAAACCTGGTGGGACAAGATACGTCTGATAACAAATTAGTGATATAACCATGTTATCTATTTATAATAACACATACTCTGCACCACTTTTACACACCGTTTGAAAATGTTGCTATCATTAAATATATGTCATTCCTCATTGAGATATAAGTTAAAGATACCTATCTCATATTATATAAATAGCTCATGTCTTTACCATATTCTAAGATTAGTTTTGGGTTTTTAGAATCTGGTTACTTGTTATGGCGCTGTTATGTATAATCAATGTTGATAGAAGTCGCACTTGCTGCTTGAGGTCGCACCATTGCCACTAGATGTCGCCCCATTGCCACTAGATGTCGCCCCATTGCCACTATATGTCGCACCATTGCCACTAGATGTCTCACAGCCAGCCCGCATAGCTCAATCGGTTAGAGCGCGAGACTTGTAATCTCGACATTGTGGGTTCGATTCCCGGGCTGGCCAACTAAAATTACTAATCAGTCTTTCGGATGAGACTTTAAATCGAGGTCCCGTGTATGGGTGCTTAAACACTTGGCACGCTAAAGAACCAGGAGAAGCTTCTGGAATTGGGGCATCTTTCTGTATCTGTAATTGCACTATCCTCCAAAAATCTAAAATGACTAATACTCTTCTGGAGGACTCGCCCATATGGGCAACCGGTGGCGAGTATAAATAAACGCAAATACACACACAAGATGTCTCACTTGCTGCTTGCGGTCACAACATTACCAGAAGATATCGCACCATTGTCACTAGATATAAAACCGTTGCCACTAGATTTCGCCAATTATTCTACCGTTAAATGTCGCAACACTAGTACGCTAAATGTCGCAAGATGTAAATTCGTGTTAATAATTGAATAAACACTTATATATAATTATTTAGTAACTTAAGGACTAAAAGGATTGTCCCTATACTAGCCTGTCTACCCAAGACAAAATTATTATGCTTTTTAATTTTTTGTTTGTTTGAAACAAACATGTTAAGTAATCCAGCGACTCGATCATGTACTGCATTATGTGCTTATGTAATAATTATCTTTTAAGTATACTAATGTGAAAGAAGTCGCAGTCACATTAAGAATCTTACTTGAAAAACATATCAGAACATTCAACATGCTGAATTAGCCAAGCATCAAAATACTCTAAAACGAGGTTTTCCCACTTTCTCACTAAAAACCCAAACTCCTCACAGTATTTACCTCCCTTGGCAGACTGATAAGGGGAGATCACTGCGTAGGCGATTGAATTTGGCGAATTGGCGTATCAATACTCAACGAGTTCAAAACGCTTCGCTTGTTGGTGTCGGCCTGGTGAATTTTCGTATTCTTTGTTCTATAGTAAATCAGTCACATTTGAGGCTTAATTCTGGATTCCACTGTTCTTGATGAATTATATACTGTCTTCAACTTTAAACATCAACACTATCTAAGTCAAATGAGGCCCAAAATATAATAGGTTAGCCATCTACTTTTTTCAGAAATCTTCATTCTGTTGTAAGACAGTTTAAATTCACCTCACGACTGCTGGTGGGTGGTACATCTTTAATCCTTCCGCCAACAAATAAGTTCCTGGAGAATACACAAAAAACAACTTTTAAAGTCATCATAAAACACACAAAAACTACACAAATGCAATAAATACACTTTAATTATGACCAATCTAACTAGAGATGACTCAAATTGGGCCACTTCAAAATTTTAAAGAACTACTTTTTAGACTACAACGGGTTGGGTCTAATTCCGTACCAGGTTGAGACCTGTTGCAGCCAATACTGTCAGTGTTTTTACGTTGTCTTGGATGTATAACCACAGGAACTTGAAATTCTATCAATATTAACGATAATATGCAAAATATACCCCCATATTATATAAATAAGTTTATTTATAGTATATAGGGCGTATGATTAATATTGGTTATTTGATAGAATGTATCTTAACAAAATAACTACTACGCTTTAGAATATGACCTCATTTACTGCACGTGCTATGCTACTAAACTAACTTAATGTTAAAATTTTATATTATGACACTAGCTGTATATCTATTACCGGTAGTTAATTGCTACATTTAACGCTAGTGTTTCATTTTGCACAGTGACTGAGGGAATATCGTGCGACAATGGACGATAACATTGCAACATTTTTCAGCAAAATATTTTGCAACACTCAGCGGCAGCTGCGACATTTAGCGGCACTGGTGCATTTAGTGAAACAAGCGACATAAAGCGCTGTTGCGACAAATAAAGGTGCCACAATGGTAACTTACAGTTTTTTCGTGTCAGCGGACAAACTGATTTTGACAATGCTGCGTTTTGTCGTGTTTAACATTTCGACCTTTTTTTTTTTAAATCGTAGATATTCGACAATGTCGATGTTTTTGTCGTTGATATTTCGTACTTTTTTGAAAATTCTGGTTTTCAAAAAAGGACTGGAAAACGAGAAGCAAATTTTGTGTTTTCATACAATACAAGGAAGTTTGAAACATTCTCTATTTAAGGTCTTAACGCTTCAAATGTATAAAATACAATAATTGTAGTGTTGGATAGCAGACATAAAACTATCATAATATCTTCACTCGAAGATTGAAATTTGTCCCAGAAATTCATTTTATTTCATTCTTGAAATGTGAAACACCTATTTAATACTGTTTTAATGGTGGATTGAGATCATGTTAGATGTTAAACAACTAAAGAAAGTAGAGCTGAATATGCAGGAATGTGTCGTAAAGGTAGCAAAATGTAAACAAAGTACATGTAGTATTTTGACTTCTATACAAAATAATTATATCAAGTAGCATAATGATAAATAGATAGTTCACATAATTATGGTAAATGAGTTTTTCAAAACTTTGACAAGATATAAAAAATATTATGTTTTTAAGCAGTAAAAATGATAGATCTTTGGGCCTTTTAAGTTAAATTTTACATGAGTAACCTCACCTGCTGGCATCAACATAATATTCTGACATGCGACTTGTGCAGACAATGATCAGGCGGCTCGGCGGACACATCCGCGCTCTATTATTATGATCTGCGCTGGTCGCTGTTCAGATAATGCTTATTTTGAAATATTTCTCTATAAATTATGAATGGTTTTGCCGATATTGAAAATTGGACAAGTCCATTTAAGATATTTAGCAGGGAAAATGCGAGCTAAGGTACAACAAATTAAATGCTCGTTGCTGCAGCTTTGCGTTTGTTTTTGGTTTTCGATGAACACACTATAACATTTTAACGTTTAGTTTACGGGGAGAAAACCGCCAGTGCCCTGTCGAGTTGTTGTCGAGACACTAACCCAGTAGACCACTCACGGCGTAAGTTAGCTTGGAATGCTTTGGATTTTAGCCCGCGGAGGAAGTAGTCTTAAGTACTGCGTTAACACTCCGGCCACGTACCCCCTATATGGACTAAATCTGTTAAAAAGGTTAAATTGAACAAACAACAAACAAACAAACAGATACTGTAAACTTGTATCTGACCACAATGTTGTTCTTACCTAATGTTTGATGGACAGCGACGTATTTTGTAGATTTTCATAAAAGATTTTTTTTCCATATTTACAGAATAAGGAGATGGTAAAATGGAAAATGACGACACCGACCCAGCAAAACTCAAACCAAACAGATCCAATGATTGCTATTTGCCCGGACACGGGGATAGACTGCTGCCTGCCGACTCTTTACAACAATCGCGTAAACCAGGCGAACTCGGTGACATTGTTATCAAATTCAGCAAGGTCAATACGAACAATGGTGATAGAGATACGAATCTTATCATCACGAGGTCTGACGTGAATGATACTGATGAAGACGAAGAGGAGGAGCATGGTAAATCACGTGATAGTGACTATTTCACAAGTCTCAGCTCGCCATCACCCGAGTCACGTGATGCGACAACCAGATTGAGCAACGGGTCTGTTCGTGCGAACGGTCACGTGGTGCACTCGAAATTGGGTGAAAAACGTTTCAATGGATATGAAAGTTCATCAGAATCGTATAATGAACGAATTTTACGTAGTTGCGCATGGCCACTTTCCGAAGGAAGCAGTAGGCTGGATATTTCAACTAATAATCATGAAAACTCAATGGAAAATACACGTGATTCTCGTGCAGAAAGTTGCAATAGTGATTCTTCGGATGATAACGATGCCGATAGTGAGGAAAAGAAAGAATTTAGTTTTAGAACGTTGACACGTGATCAAATAGCAATACTTATCGCAACGAGTTTTACAAACTTACTCAGTTTTCTTAGTCTCTCAATATTAGCACCTTTCTTCCCGATCGAGGTAAGTTCTCAATGATAATTTTATATGATAAATACTAGAACCCGTACTGTTTAGTCTTAGAAATCATCTGTGTATGTTTCAGGAATTGATTTAAAACATCGGAATTTTAATGAATAAATATTCACACATTTGTTATAGATCTGCATTACCCGCTTAGCTTAATCAAAGGATTACTGGTTCCTATCTTGAGTAAGGCGAAATAGAAATTCTTCCTGGCAACAGTTACCTATCGGGTCTTTTGATAAAAATTGTTCTGTCAATCGCTTAGTTGACCTCGGACACTGAGTCTAACGAGCATGTGTTTTTTTTTTATATCACTTTGAATTTAGAAATCATGTGGGATAAGGGGAATGTCTCTTTGTAAATTAAGCATAACACTAAACACACAATCAAACAAACCTAAGTTACAAAGTATCAGTGTAGGATCAGTCCATTCTCCCCGTTAGTAATGGGGTAGTAATATGACTTGTGTGAAGCATGCACATTGTCGCTTGGAAATCTTAAAAAAGAGTAAAATGTTTTTTACCTTTTGAAAACTTATATTTACACACCTAAAGATGAAAAACAGCAACAAAAATATAACAATATAAAAAGAAAATTAAAAATGGTATGTGTTAGAGCCAGTACACATATACGTACACATTCATAGATTTTGCTTTAGTCAGAAAAGAAAAAGGTTTAAGCCAAATGTGAAAACAAAATTATTTTAAACGTCTTATTCTGGATTTGAAAGCTGCCAAATTATCCGAAAAATTAAGAAAATCGACTTTGAGAAACATTACTAAGATTTTGAAAATGTTAACAATATTCAAGAATCAAGTAAAAGTTTACGTGTTTTGTGCGATTAATGAGTTTGTATTGCTACAGCGTGACTAACGAAGTAAGCTGTGTTTGTGTATCTTTATACCATTTTTTTCCGGTAATTTACATGCTTTGAAAGTGCCGTTTGCAACAATGTGAAGTTCAATGTTTTACCTTTTAATATTTTTTCATGTAAATTAGCATGAATCTGAAAGCATGCTGCTTTAAGTCAGAAAATAGATCTGAAAAGTTTCCTATCCTGGTCATATCACGTTTATATAATCAAATATTTACTGTTTAATAAATTCCAAACTATGTTACTTTTATACTATATCTTACTATATAATCATTTAAGCTTAATCTCCAGAATTTTAAAACTGAACAAATTATGACAACATATTAATTAAAAGCAATATAAAATCAAGATTCAAACATATTACGGTATTAGCACAAATAATGAAATAATTTAGAACGAGAACGAGGAATGAGAACTCTTATACGAACATATTATTTGCACAAATAATGAAATAATTTAGAACGAGGAATGAGAACTATGTTCTAAGTTTCAATAAAATTCTTTTACAAAATAATGTAAAGTATAATGTAAACTTTAAGTAATTATTTATCATAATTATATATACAATGTAAATCTGTCTAAAGTTGGAAAACGTTTGGGCTAGTAAGAAAGCTAAGATGGAAAGATTTACGTCTAGCGTTTTTGAAGTTAGAACATTCAAATACGTAGTGGAATTCATCACCAACGTCGTCTTCTTAATGTTGTATTTGTATTACAGGCGGATAAGAAAGGCGTCAGTAGCACAATCTCAGGATGGATATTTGGAATCTTTGCCCTCGTACAGTTTGTTTCATCTCCTTTATTCGGCCGAGTTGTAAGAATTTTAAATCATGATAGATACTATTTACTATATTTAGTAATCTTATATAATATTCTATTACTGAATCGCATTTTCATCCTTAATGCATGCGATGTTTATATATACATATGTATATATAAATATATATATATCTTTCTTCTTATGTAACATTGGAATAAATTTCATTCTGTTTATCTTGAATGTGCATTATAAAACACCTAGAAAAAACTGTGCTTATCGAATTTCGGTATTTTTGTACGTTAAAGATTGTGTCATCTCTAATTATTAATTATTCATGCTCAAAGGTTAATTTTTGTATGAAATTTGATATTATATAAGCAAAATTGAGTGGATGCGCAGGCTGGTCTGGATCCATGCTGGTCGCAAACGCATTATGTTGGTTTTGTCGTGACGCGCTCAAATAACATTTTGAATAGCAAACTTAGCAAGATACAATTTTATAAAGATTTATTGAAACGTTTAACACCATCTTAAATTGACTTGTCTATCTTTCTTTGCAAAACCAGTCAACATTTTGATGAAAATTCCAAAGTAAATACTGACTGAATAGTTATACAAGATAAGTTTGCATGGTGATCTTCGTCTGCATTGGCTGCATGATTAGATTTAGTTGCTGCCAACATGCTTAAAGTTAATATAAATGATTTTTTGACCTTAATGTTTTTATGTAACTGATTAAGTGTCATATCAGCATTTATATTGATTTTATTTTAAGAAATTTGGTGATATAGTAATTATTATAGACCAGAAACTTAGAAAAACTAATACTTTTCCTTAAAACCTTTAGAATTTATTTCTCAATTTGCAATCAATAACCTTCCCCCCCCCCCGAGCCGTTCAGTAAGTATACAAGTCTAGAAGATCGATGGTCCTACCCGGCCAGATGCTTCTGCTAACAAGATAGATGCACGGATTGAAGATCGCATATTTGTCCATCATTTAGGCTGACATTTTGTTATGTAAAATTTATCTAAAACATTTGGAAAGAAATAAGAGAAACATCCTTTAAGTATATATTTCGGGGTTTTGTGTTTTTAAAGAAGTTCGGATAAAAAGCTAATTTTATATTTTATTTCAGTTACCAATTGTTGGTTGTAGATTTATGTATTTATCTGGACTGTTTGTTTGCGGAGGATGTACTCTACTTTTCGGGTAGGTCGGCTGTCCTTGTTGTAGAAGACATTACGATTTTCCCCATTTTTACCCTTATTGCTTTAAAATTAAGTGTTTTTAATATTTTATCATCATATTATATGTTTAAGTTTTGTCATATTGCTATAGAAAGGTGACAGCAGCACAATCTCTGGATTTATATTTGGAATCTTTGCCCTCGTGCAGTTTTGTTTCACCTCCTTTGTTCGGACGACTTGTTAGACACGAACACTTAAAATACAGTAAACCTTAACGTGCGTCTGTTTACACTACTTGAGATAATATGGGGAAGTCCAACTCTCTTACGTTGTTAATTCGTGTGGTCCTACACTTTGGCTTTTTATGAACAATTACATGATTCATGTAAATGAATTTATTCTTGAACCTTTGTCTTATACATGTATATGTATGTGGAAATGTATATGTTTAGATAGAAACAAATCAATGAAATATGATTTTGTTTGATCGAACTCGGACAGCTCCGAGAGATCGGTAGTTCAAGCAAATCGTGTGTGAAATAACGGTATTATCATGTATGGCAAGATCATACTTTAAGTATTTTTGTAGTAAAATAGTTGATAATTAGTAAACTGAAAGCCGTTTTAGTTTATACAGAATTTATTTTAGCTCGACTGTGCTTATAGAAACACTCTTGAATCCAATCCTGGAACCAACCAAAGACTTAGAATTGAGTGTCAAATTGCTTTGCTTATAAAAAACGGCTTGCCCTGAGTTAGTTTGAACCCACCCGACCGGCAATCCTAAGATTACTTGTCTGACATATTAACCACTCGATCAAGTCGCCAATGAAACTTTTTTTGCCTGTTGCTTTTTCATATGATTTATTTTTATTCTCATTTTCCCCAGTATTCTAGACAAGGTAGATGCCACTGAAAGTGAAGTTCTATTTGTCACTTTGTGTTTTGTTACAAGAGTCCTGTTGGCTCTCGGCTGCACTGGTTTAAGTAACGCGGGCTTTGTGATGCTGGTACGATACTTTCCGGACAGCGTGGCCACAGTGTTTGTAAGTATATTTCTTACTATAGGCTTTTGCCTGACTTTACGCTTCTGTACTTAATTCTAATGCGTTCTCGCACGGAACCGGAAACGAAAAGCGCGTGGCGCAAAACATCAACAGATATACTGATCCTCGACACACCAACCAGGCATGTAGAAGAACGTATTTGTTAGCTACATGTCATACTCTTGTCTAAAAACAATGTCAGCCCATTAGAGTCGTTTTATATTTTGTCTATCTACGAAATAACGCATTATTGAGATAAATGTGCGTTTCGATAAGGATCCTTTATGTTACTCATGTAGTTATAGAATTACATGTATATGTTATTGATGAAATAACTAATTGTCAATTTCCAAAGTGTGGTTAAAAGTAATTATTTATTTAACCTGTATATCAAGAATCTTAAATTTTGCAGTTAGTCCTTATAAATATTTTATTTCTTTAAAGCAAGACATGCTTATAATATAACCGTTTCCACGTTAATTATGGTCTTTTCTTGCATCTCAGACAGGATTATCTACCGTTTACACCGGTGCTAGAAAACTCTGTCTTACACCCCATGTAAGGGTCTCGTGTTTGTCTACCTTTCTTTCTGGACAAAGGCATTCATCATATTAGGAAAAAAAAATAAAAATAAGTTCCGACCGAGTGTATACCGTGATCTGTCTACAAGGGTGTGAGGGCTGATCTTGATCTGGTTGCATAATGTAGAATCAGTTGCTGTCGGCAGGCTTAAGGTTAGAAATCTCAGTACACACCATGCATATACATATACTTTATTTTTAAACATTTATGATTTGATTTGGTATACTATATTTCTGATACCATTATAGGGTATAGGTGAAGTGTTTACCGGCATTGGAATGGTTACAGGCCCAGCCGTCGGGGGATTCCTCTACGCCGTAAGTTATTTAATAATATTCTATGGTTCTATGCTGGAAATTATTGTTTTCATACGTTAACGAATTATACGGGGAAGTCAAAGACCGGGCCCGCGAAGCGGGTCCGGGCTTTGGCTTGCCCGGCTATAGACTACACGTGTATATTTAAAAGAAAATCAAATAAAAAACAATTAAAGAATATATAGAATTCTATACCTATCAAAGAAATTTTCAGTGTCAGTTCTAGTCAGGCGCCGCCATTTACAATGTAACTCAATGATAATAGGCGGGGTATTCCGATAACGGAACAAATCTCAACTTTTCGGATTAATAATAATCGTCGAGTGTTCCGAGTGAAAACGGAAGCGGTGCATGTAATACCGAATGACACCTTTAAAACGGAAAGAATGAAAGGATTTTTTTAACGACTTCCCCGTTTATAGGCTTTGCCTAATTTCATATTACTCGTCAAGAACAACAAACAACAACAACATTAGCATCATCATCATCATCATCATCATCATCAGCAGCAGCAGCAGCAGCAGCAGCAACAACAACAACAACAAAACAACAACATCAATAATAACTCTTGTTTTGGAGATGCGTTATATTCTATCCTTTTTGGCTAGAAAAGTGACTTAGCAAATGAGTTTAAACGTATACAATGGTTTCTGTAACAGCCATATTATATGTTATTTTGATTTTGGAGTGATATATGTGGATATATTACCTGCTAAGATTTTATATCACCCGAGCCGTTAGGCGAGGGTGATATTTTATCTTGGCCGGTAATATATCCACATATATCACTCCAAAACCAAAATAATAATTTTATTACCCTTCCCCTGCCGAGTTTAGACGATTTAAAAAAAAAAATCATTGCTGTATCAAATGAAACGTCGAAATAAGATTCCCTTTAGGGTACCTCTTCATCACAACATGACGTCACATAAATACATGACGTATTTTTCCCGTACCTAACGAATGTAAACAAGAGAAAAGGAGTAGTCTATTGAAAGCACTTTTTTGTAATTAATATCAAGCTTTCACAAGGTCATACTTGTTTTCAATACTGATGGGAATTTGTATCATTACTCTACTTTGGTAAATATTTATCATTTGACAGTTAAAAAGTGCTTGTAAATCGGAATTTACACCGCGTAAAATCGAACCGTAAGCGCATCACCTCAGCGCATGTCGTTTACAACGTTGGGTACCGGGGGTAACGGAGAAATTTAGTGTATATATTACCCGTCTGGCTCGGTTATATCAATTTCTCTCGGGTGATCAATATCCAATCAAAAAGGCGGAAAAAATCTGGAAGGGTAATAACATGTTTTATATAGCACGTATTCTATGTGTATATTATCAGTTGCTAAATGATGCAAGAGTTTCAATGGTTTCACGATATTTGAAATGAATTGCATGATTGAAGTAGGAACTGAGAAATAGTTTTGTAAATCACAATTTCAAACTATCTGTAAATTATTAGTTATGTATTTTTCTGACATGTTAAATGGCTAAGTATAAACGGCCTGTTGTAAGCTTATATAACCTTGGTCGCTAGGCATGGGTTATATTACAAACAACCGTCTATAGACAGTTATATAGAATGCCAATTTGTTATTCAAGAAAAGTATTTTATTTGAGGGGAAAAAAAACAACGAAAATTACTTTATAGATTGACAACAGGCAAGGAAGTTGATAAATTTTATATACCTCACAATTTTTCAATTGGGAAGAGACGTTACAAACGTGCAGTGTTATGAATATATATAAACATTAGTATTGAATGGAATTTCTTTAGACCGGGCGGGCAATGGTAGCTTATGAAAGTGCAAGAACTTATTTCCAGAAGGGTCCTTACCACAGCAGACACCAGAGACAGTTTCGAGATACAAGGGAATCCGGGAACCAGCCTCTAGCTCTTATTGAATAGATCCTTTGGTTCTTTTACATGACCAGTGAATAGCAGTCATACATGCGAAGATTATCTAGGTGTCATACCAGTATACCTCTAGGTATGTGGGACACTGAAAGTGTCTCTGAAAAATCCCAAAGATGTTACCCTTGATCGAACCCGAAACCTCCGGGGACAGTCGGTGGTCTAACCAAATGAGCTGTTTTGCGCCATCTTTAGTATTCAATATATACATGATTATGTTTCCAGTAAAATGTATAATTATATGTATTAAAAGGGTTACGTACTATGTATTTATTGTTTTTATTTTAAGGACTACGTATGTATTATTTTGTCTTACAGGCTGGTGGCTTTATTCTGCCGTTTGCAGTGGTTGGAGGCAGTTCTTTTCTAGCTTTACCTTTAATCTGGTATTTTATTCCATTACAAAATGGTATGTACATAATACACCGTCTAAGAAATGAAAAATAACAATATGCAATTCCTTTATTAACTTTTTAGAGAATATATATTTGCTATATATTGTAAACTTCAACAAGTCAAACTTTGATGTATAAGAGACAAAACAAAGCAGATTTATTTGGTTACATTTAATACGTTGGACTTATTTTGTTGCAAATAACGGAAGTTGTTATTTGAGGCAATACATTGGAGTTATAATTGGAGTTATAAACGTGAAATATTTAAGCGGCAAAATCCGCGCAGTCTGATCAGGATCCATGCTGTTCGCTTACCAATTCTATTACAAGTAGAGAAACTGATAGCGAACAGCATGGATCCTGATCAGACTGCGCGGATGCGCAGGCTGGTCTGGATCCATGCTGGTCGCAAACCCATTATGTTGGTTTTGTCATGACGCGGCTCATATTATTGCTTTACAAAGTAACATAAACTTGACAACATAGAAAAGATGAAAAAATATGCATATATAATCTATCTAAATGTCATATCACCGCATGGACATAATGAAAAAATTTTCCGCTGTTTCACCTCGTTTCAAATTACAGTTGTAAATATCACAATGTCAAAAGTTAAACAAATATTTATTTTGATTGTACTATCTCATCAATGAATGATATTTTGCTATATATAAGTTAAACCTGATATGATAAACAACGGAAAGTTTTATATAGGCCTATATTATTTTGACATTTTCAACATAGTGTAGAAATATCACGTATTTATGTAACAAAATATTACATTATTGAAGACGTGTTTTTCTAAATTATTCACTTGTGCGTTTCACTATAATTGCAAGATGAAATAGGTACTGTTATTTGGTATCGGCCGAGTGGTTAAAGTTGTTGCCACTCATTGCAGAAACTGTTGAAGGTTCGAATCCCGCCAATGTCCTGCGAGGAAGCTATCCACCTAGCTTTCGGAACGTGGCTGCTTCTACGCAGGTGTCCTATTCTGAAAAAAATGCTTCCTCAAGAAGATGATCATGTACACTTTGTTGGGGTGGGGTGAAATTATGGGATACGGGATCGTATTAGATATATAGGGAAAACTAATAAACTATATTTGTGTTGATATTTGTGTTGAAATCACAATACTTATATACAGTATACGTAAATTAAAAAAAAAATCAAAGTTTTTTGGTTATACACAATTTGGCTTAAGTTTATGTTCATGTATTTGATTATCATCATTATTAGAAAGGATCATAAGATAATCTTTACATAACTGACGTGCCATCCCGGATCCCGACTTTTCTAAAGGCGACCCCGGGATTCCCCCCAATCCCACCTCAATATAGTCGATATGATTATTGTGATCTATATAATGTAAAGTACTCTTTTGATGTATTTGCAAGTCCTGTATCAAGGTCGGCGGCCCTTTATTATTTTCGTCTACATATTTATGTTACTTAGTGCTAAGGGTCTGTGGGATTTTTGTTCAAGTTGGTCGAACTGGTCGTACAGCTTAACCGTCCTTTGTATATGTATCGGTTTCCTGCCCCACGCAGATCCTAGTCACGTGGTAAAGGCACCGTGTTATTATATTTCAAAATTTGTACATGTATTCAGATATAAATGAAGAGATCGATGACGATTTGCCGTTGTGGAAGATGTTAATACATCCGCGAACTATTGTCAACAGTATTGTTGTCATCGTTGCTGCTTCAGTATGGTCCGTGCTTGACCCAACTCTAGAACCTCATCTTCGAGTGGTCAGTAGGCAAAGATTTTAGCACATTTTGTTTCTAATAAACCATACTGACATAAAAACTTACAAAAAACTTGTATATTTTATCAAATTAATTTGTAGAATAAGTGTAATTCAAAAACATTTAGTTTTAGATTTTTAGAAGAATTTTACACAGCACGACACTTTACTGAAAAGAAATACACTTTCAAATATCACATGAAGTGGGTTTTATAAAATTATGTTTTCAGTCCAATTTTAAACATGTTTAGATTTTAACAACTCAGTCTATTTCGAACAGTAGGTTTGTTAAAATCAAATACAGAAATTAATGTCTGTATTTCAACGCTATGCATATTTATACTTTTTTGCTACTTTATCATTATTTTCTATATAACAGTTTGAAATTTAATTTCAGTACGGTCTTGGTCCGGAGTTGGTTGGTGTGCTGTTTTTGATAATGGCGGCATTTTATTCCGTGACGTCACCAATATGGGGCCGCGTTGCCGACAAACTAGTAAGTTTACATGCAAACGTGTACCTCTAAAATACCATTTTTTCAATAGCATGAACATGAAATTGAAATGTTAGCAATTTGACATTACAGTTTGAATTTTCGTTACAATATTTAAGGTAAGATACCTCTAATGCATTACCTCCGCATTGAAGAGTATCACTATTCAAATATGCTAAATCATCTATATTGAAATTGAGGGGCGTGCGTTTAAACCCCAGAAGCGTCAACTTTTTTTTTTCTTTTAACATAAATATGTTCTAACCCGTAAACCATACGGTAAAGTTTGTTGAAATTTTGCAGTGCATGCAGGTATCCTTTAAGGCATATAACCTAGGTTGTAAATTTACAGTTCCTTATAGTGCCCATGAGGGGGATCATACTTTAATTATGTAATTATATTTATCCGCAGCCAGACAACAGATTTGTACTGATACCCGGTCTGATGGTTTGTGCTGCAGGCCTTCTTCTGATTGGTCCATCCCCTGTTCTAGGATTTGCAATCAGTTTCAAGTAAGTGTGCACTTGAATTTATATCGCATAGTTTCCATAACACGTAATTTTATATACTTCAGTTTTCGTCATTTGTTTTAAGCCTTTCTTTTTTAAAAAGTAATACACTGAACTTAAGTATTTCTATATTATAAAAAAGTTATTTAGGTTCAATGCTATTTATTTTCCACATGGCTATGTCACCATAATATTAGTATTTACACAGTACATTAAATGTGTATAAATGTGATATAATTTTAACCTAGGCTAATAGAAATATGTTTAATTGTTTTCGGCAAGTTTGAATTGTATAGCGATTTAGATTTGAATTTAACATTCCATGAATGATAAATCTTTTTGCTATGATAGTGAATTTTTTTATGATATCAAAAACAAATTCATACTAGAGGGCAAATTAATCACCTTAATGTTTGTCTTTTTTATTCTATGTTTATTTTCTACAGTTCTATGTTTATTTTATATTGAAATCAATAGGAAAGATGTTATGATGTTGTGTTATATTTTTCAGCCAGTTATGGTTGACCATATTAGCTTTGATCATCCTGGGTGTTGGCTCCAGCATGGCTGTTATACCTACATATGATGTTTATATAGAAATATTAGGGTAAGGTATAGAAATTTAAATACATTGAAAACCTAGTCCTTTGTTTTGTTTGGTTTTACGGCGCATTAACAAAATTTAGGTCATATGTAGCCGAAACGGGAAAGGTGATTTTGGCTAACCTCGGGTGTTACAAACCTAAGGCAACATCAGGGGTCAAAACCACCTCACCTGCTGGAGCTAAGTGATGTATAGACTTCAGTCATTTGACCCCGTTAAATCGCCTCTTACCATCACGCAGGGATAAATAGTGGTCCAATTCTGATACCGCAACCCTTAAAGGCAACCCCTCAAGGGGCAAAATCAACTTCTAAATATGTGCTTACATGGCAATATTTTGTACTTTTAGCATAGCTGGAAGAGTGACTGATTGATACATTGATTATGTTTAACTATTCTGGTCTATTTGTAAGATATATGAGCCGTGTCATGACAAAACCAACGTAATGCGTTTGCGACCAGCATGGATCCAGACCAGCCTGCGCATCCGCGCAGTCTGGTCAGGA